CTATCTATAATAGATCATGATTTAATAAACAAATGCTATTTCTTCATGGGTGGAAGAAAAGCATTTATTCACAATGTCTTGTTTGCTATCCAGCTTGAAGGCTGATGGAACCAGAACGTTTCTGTCTTCTATGAGATAGTGGATGCACTTCAAGGAATCTAGAGCGTAAAAGAGATGTTTATCTTGCTAGTTAATTAATCAGAGCACTGGGTTTAATCTGTGGTTAATCAATGTACCACTTCATCGGTGTAAAGCTTGCTGCTCTCCACTGTTTTTAAAGAGTTGTTATCTGTCTTGGTTCTTTGGGGTCGGTGCTGGGGCAACCAACCCAACATGAGAAACTGGATCTCCAAGAGTTTGATTTGGGATGAGATTTCTAGTCCTTAGGAGAGAATAAGGCACCATTTTGGAATAAGGTTTTGGCAATCTCCCTGCAACACCTAGCTTCCATCCCCACTCACCAAAAGAAGTGACCTGCATTATTTGAAATATATATATATATATATATATGTGTGTGTGTGTGTGTGTGTGTGTGTATATATATATATATATATAAACACTCCTTGTTTCTGTTCTTTCTCTCCACAGTCCCTGGACGGGTTTGTGTTTGTGCTGAACCAAGAGGGAAAATTCCTTTACATCTCGGAGACGGTGTCTATTTACCTCGGGCTCTCGCAGGTAGGAGCTGTGTGAGCTGGGTACTAAAATGTGAATAATGCATGCGCAGACTGGAAATAAAAACACACAACCCACTCTATAGGGCCAGATGTACAGCGCATGAGTAATGCAGCCGGCCAGGCTGTGTGCTGAGAATAGCCAAGATGATTGTCTGCAGTGTTTCCAAAGCAGAAGACCTGCAATTCAGACAAAAATACTTTAGGACTGGCAGCTGGATGCCATAGGACAAGGGATGTCATATTGAGGAGGGAACAAGCTTGTTTTCTGTTGCTCCAGAGACTAGGACACAATGGAGCAATGGGTGCAAGCTCCAGGAAAAGAGATTCCACCTTAACATTAGGAGGAACTTCCTGAAAGTAAGGGAGTGCAACACACTCCTTTGGAGATTTTGGTGGAGTCGCCTTCCTTGGAGGTCTTTAAGCAGAGGCTGGATGGCCATCTGTCGGGGATGCTTTGATTGGGAGTTCCTGCATGGCAGAATGGGGTTGGACTGGATGGCCCTTGGGGTCTCTTCCAATTCTATGATTCTATGATGTGGCCAGGCAGGAACGAATGTGGTGGCCCAGCATTGGGCCGCATGCGGCTGGGAGACTTCAGCCCTGTTGCCGTCATACCCAGAAAACGTTGCTGGTCCCATATACAGTTGCCCCTCATAATTTACAGGGATCCATTCTGGATACCCTCTGTGAAAATGGCGGCTGGCAAATATTCGAGCCCCATTTTAACTAATGGTGCGTGCGCCTGTTAAAAATGTAGCCCTTGTCCCTCCCTGCAAAGAGCGAGACCACCGACTCCAAGTCCGCAAACAGTGAGGGATAACTCTACTGGGAGCCTGTACCTTGGCTTCTTCCTTTGACTTAGATGTATTTTTTAAAAGGATCTTTCCAGCAAAACCTTAATCTGTCCCTAGCTGTATCTTTGCCTCCTAATAGGACATTTCTTGTGCTCGACCTCTCTGCTTCTCAGCTGCCAATGAATGGAGAAGAATGCCAGTCTTGGGTTGTTTTGGCCTGCTGCTTTTCATCGCCCCAGCCCTTGCCTTGCCGCATGAATAATTAATCGTCGTAATTATCTCCAGTACAGACCAAGTGCTTTAACATGCTTTGTCTGATAATTGATGATCGGTCTCTCTTCCAAGCTGGGATTGACTGATTGTAGTGAGGAGAGAGGTAGGAGAAATGAGAAACGCATCTTTGGAGGTTGATTTCCATCGCCCCTCATGATCAGAAGCAATTTGCAACCCAGAGATAATGGCTGCACCCATACTGCAGAAATAATCCAGAAATAATCCGCCATGGCTCAATGCTATGGAATTCTGGGAAATGTCATTTTGTGAGGCATTTAGCCTTCTCCGTCAGAGAGCTCTGTTACCACAACAATCTACATTTCCCAGAATTCAATAGCCTTGAGCCATGGAATTAAAGTGCAGAGTTGCACATGTCGCAAAACGAGCGCATGCTCATTGGGTTGCACAGTGTTGTAATTCGCTAGCAAAGCCACGTTGCATCAAAGTGATGATGCCACTGCGTTTTGGAGTTGAGTGTATATCTTAATCCAGAATATCTCAAAGGACTGGGCTTTGCAAGCCAGAGGTGGGCAACTGTTGGAGGGACAGCTTCCAACTTTTGCCACCGGAAGCTAAATTGCATCCTTTCTTCCTTCTCTTTAGGGCCATTATTGGCCACCGAGGGGAGACTGTCGATCTTAACACAAGAGAATTGTTGCATTTGGGACATTAGTTGGAGCTTGAAAATCACCCAGGAAAAAAAATAACTATTTTGGCATCTGTGGGTTGGGAAAGCGTTACTGAAGTTTGCAAATATGAGGCTGGCTCTGCACTTGCTGTCAGCCAAAATTTGTACCCAGATGACTTGGCATTTAGAGTTGCTGATTATTTTTTTAAAAATTATACACATTTCGATCACACACTTCTGACTCCCTTCCTTGGTGTGATCTTGAAATCCACGCACAAACAAATGGATTTTGAAGTTGTGCCATGACCCCTCACCGCAACCATCGCGCTTCTCCCTATGGTTGCTTCTCTCTCTGTTTTGCCCTCCATTGTCACCAGTTTGGCTGGCTGTGGTTGAGATGGGAAGGAAGGAAAGTGAGAAAGAATCAGGAATGGGGTTTTTTTGGGGGGGAGAGAGAGACTTTCTCCTTTTCAAGTGGATTTCTGCTCCCCGAGGCCCCCATTTACAAACCGGGGCACTTTCAACCTTTTCTCTGGCAAAGAAGATTCCAGACCTGGAGCAAACCTCAGGCAAGGAGAAGGCAGCCTTTGATACAGCATTAAATGGTGATGGGGAAGACCTTGCCGCGGGCCATCGGAGGAGAAGGCAGAGAGGGACCGGCGGTGTGCATGGCGGGGGGAGCGTGCAGGTTGCGTGTGTGTGTGTAGATATGTGTCTCTGGGAGGAAGGTGACTCTCACATCCGCCATCAGTTTGCAGCAAGGCTGGTGAGCCAAAGCCCTTCTTCTCAGGTCTGGGGAACAGCTGGGTTGTCGTATGTCCCTTAATGCTTCCGGCGGATTGACTCTCCTCTTTCAACTCCTGCTTGGACACTCTGGAGACTCCGCGCCTTGATCTCCCTCCTCCTCCATCCTTGATTTCATTCTTTTTTAATTCCCCCTTCCTATTTTTCTTTCTATCACTCCTCTTCTTTTTCACTCCCTTTTCCTTTTCTCGTGCAAGTGCAACCTTTCTGTTAAAAATAAATAAATGAAACATTTTTATGTTTTTTTGGCATGCATCTTACTGGATATTCGCTGCTAGGGATGCATTTGAAGAGATGCATGTTTAAATATTTGAAGGGATGTCATATTGAGGAGGGAACAAGCTTGTTTTCTGCTGCTCCAGAGACTAGAACCCGGAACAATGGGTACAAGCTCCAGGAAAAGAGATTCCACCTCAACATTAGGAGGAAATTCCTGACAGTAAGGGCTGTTCGAGAGTGGAACACACTCCTTTGGAGATTTTGGTGGAGTTGCCTTCCTTGGAGGTCTTTAAGCAGAGGCTGGATGGCCATCTGTCAGGGATGCTTTGATTGGGAGTTCCTGCATGGCAAGGGTTGGACTGGATGGCCCTTGGGGTCTCTTCCAATTCTATGATTCTATGATGTGGCCAGGCAGGAACGGATGTGGTGGCCCAGCATTGGGCCGCATGCGGCTGGGAGACTTCAGCCCTGTTGCTGTCATACCCAGAAAACGTTGCTGGTCCCATATACAATTGCCCCTCCCAATTCGCAGGGATCCGTTCTGGACACCCTCCGTGAAAATGGCGGCTGGATTCATGCTGATGGTGCTGCCAGGGAGAGCTTGACCCAAGGCAGGCTACCTGATCCTAATGTTTGTTTTTGGATGCTAGTCAGCCACTGGTAGCCCAGGCCAGACAAGCTTTTGCAAATGACTGGAGGATGTTTCCTTCCATTCTCTGATGCTTGCTGCAACATCTGGTAGTCGGGCCTGTGGTAGTTTCGTTACTGCTCAAGAAACGAACTAGGAAGGCTGATGCTGACAAAATTTTAAAGAAAATCTAAAGCATTGATTGCTTGGGGAAGTCATTTTTGGGGCTCCAGCTTCCAGAATCAGAGGAGGTTGGTGACTTCCATGTCGGTGGGGTGGTGAATCCAGAACCTCCTCGGTGGCACGATTGACAAGTCATGGGTCAGAAGGGAGGTTTTAACGGGACTGATCTGATCTTCGGAAACATTTGATCCTGTAAGAGGGAAAAACAAATCTGCGTCACACTTTCGGTGGCTGGATTCCCATTGGTACGCTCCCCTTGTGTAATGGCCATGGTGGCAGGAGGAAAAAGCGATCATGAAGGAAAGAAGTGATGAGAGAAGTAGGCTATTTGGAGCTAGCAAATTTTGTCTGCCCTCCTCTGTCTCTGCCTTGGATTGTGGCCTCTTCCTTCCTTCCTTCCTTCCTTCCTTCCTTCCTTCCTTCCTTCCCCTTTCCATCTTTGCTCCCCTTCCTCCATTCTTTCTGCCAAACTGCGTGCCATCAGAGTCTCTTTCCTGAGGACTTGCTCCTTTAAATGCACCTGACCATTCTCCTGCCAGGGGAAGCCAATACCTCCATGTTATTATTTATTGATCTCCCCCTCCTCCTCCTCCCCTTCATTAGGATGTGAGCAACGCTAACCTGAAGCACTGACCTTTAGTATTCAAATCTGCGGACGCAGCTCCCCCAGGCCTCTGCATGCCAATGAAGGGCCTCCGGTCCAGAGACGGGCAGAGCATTGTGGAGGTCACTACTGCTTTCTCTCCCACTGGAAAGGAAGGAAGGAAGGGAACGCAAGCAAGGAAGGCTGGGTTGCATATTAGCAGCCACAGGGAGGGAAGGGAGCAAGCATGGGAACAACAGCAAAATGCTTCTCCTGTTGCACAGAGCATTGGCTGATGCTCAGGCATCTCAACACTC